CCTCAGCAATGATGAGTAATTGTGTGGCTCAACTCCTGCCCAAACGAGAAGTGGGTCCGGCTTACGCGGCGCGGGCTGTGGTAGCATCCTTGCAACATCACACGGTTTTTCATCGCCACGAACAAACGCAACCTTCGGCAAATAAAATCCACGGTTTTGAGGCAATGCAAACAGTTTCTGGGTCAGCGCCACCGGCACGCCCACTATCAGACTAAAATGAGCCGCGTGAACATGGCCTGGGTGTTAAATATTCTCAAGTGCATCTAGCTTACGCCAAAAAATATGGTCTTCTCCTTGGATCTTCTTCTACCTAGTCTTTCTATATGCCTATGCACTCAGCCTTTTGTAGCTTCTTTTAAGCAGTAGTAGCAGCGAAAGAATACGGTACTTTTTGCCCGCCACTTCCCTTTGCCTTTTGGCGTCAATATCAGCGGGTCAGTTAGATCGACGGTGAGTCACAACATAACCGTAGTCATTTATTTCATCGTCACAACTGTCCGCCACACATGATAACTGCAGCTGAAGAGCTGGCGGTTGCGGTCGTCGCTCTGGTTGAAAACTTGTGAGCAGCTCTGGTCGAGCAGCTGGCAGTGGCATCCCTGATTAAAGAACTGCCAGTGGTGACCGCAGCGGCTCTGTTTAAGATTTCGGCGGACGCTCTGTAGCTGAGGAGCTGTCGGCGTAGGCTCTGCAGCTGAGGAGTTGTCGGCGGAGACTCTGCAGCTGAGGAGCTGTCGGCGGAGACTCTGCAGCTGAGGAGCTGTCGGCGTAGGCTCTGCAGCTGAGGAGCTGTCGGCGGAGGCTCTGCAGCTGAGGAGCTGTCGGCGGAGGCTCTGCAGCTGAGGAGCTGTCGGCGGAGGCTCTGCAGCTGAGGAGCTGTCGGCGGAGGCTCTGCAGCTGAGGAGCTGTCGGCGGAGGCTCTGCAGCTGAGGGGCTGTCGGCGGGGGCTCTGCAGCTGAGGGGCTGTCGGCGGGGGCTCTGCAGCTGAGGAGCTGTCGGCGGAGGCTCTGCAGCTGAGGAGCTGTCGGCGGAGGCTCTCCAGCTGAGGAACTGTCGGCGGAGGCTCTGCAGCTGAGGAGCTGTCGGCGGAGGCTCTGCAGCTGACGAGCTGTCGGCGGAGGCTCTGCAGCTGACGAGCTGTCGGCGGAGGCTCTCCAGCTGAGGAGTTGTCGGCGGAGGCTCTGCAGCTGAGGAGCTGTCGGCGGAGGCTCTGCAGCTGAGGAGCTGTCGGCGGAGGCTCTGCAGCTGAGGAGCTGTCGGCGGAGGCTCTGCAGCTGAGGAGCTGTCGGCGGAGGCTCTGCAGCTGAGGAGTTGTCGGCGGAGGCTTTGCAGCTGAGGAGCTGTCGGTGGCGGCTTTAACTATACCTCTAGCGGTGACGGTGCTGGTTGGACAACTGACAGCGGAGAGGCTGGCTGAAGCTGTGCATGGCCGCCCTGCTTAGGATGTCTCCGCATCTCCTCTTAGATGTTCCACAGCTTACTGCTTGCGTCTATCTCACAGTTTATAATGATCATTTTTGTGAGGTTTAACTCACTATTCAAAATGTTGATGACGTCATTTAATATTTGATTTATGAAGCATATGTTGGATACGTGCCTTTGTCAACGTTTCGTCCTTTCACCCTCATTTAGCCTCAACTTGATTACTTTCACTCCATCTGATCGCTTGTCGGAAGCTGTTTGGATGGTAGGCAGACTGGTTATACAGCAAACTGGGGGTGATGCGGCTTCATCTCGTTTCTATGTCTCCACAGCAAAGATCGCGACCAAAGAAAGGATTGCATAATGCACTTGATTTCCACGTAAGCAGCAGCCACGCCGGTGCACCGATCTACCCGAAGTGAATGTAGTGATGAAAGCAGCCGCCAACCGACGTGAGGAATCAGAATCAGAGAGCCAAGCAATGCATTAAGTCATCTGCTTTTTCTCTTCGCGCTATCATGCGGCATTGTCTTTTGTTGTTGG